GTGACTACCCTAGGTAGTAATCTGGGAGTCTCAGGAGCAGTGACTGCGGCAGGTGGGTTGACCTCGTCAAACGGGCTCAACGTGAGCTCGGGAATTACGAGCTTGGGAAGTAATCTCTCCGTGACTGGCCCTATCGTGTCGGTAGCAGGAATCACCTCTTCCAACACCCTCAATGTTACAGGCACGGCCACTCTAGGCAGTAACTTGGCGGTCACGGGGCCAATCTCTGCCTCTGGTGCGACTCTGAGCGCTGCGCTCGCCCTAGGATCCAATCTACTAAATACCACCGGCGACATTTCCACTTCGAGCAACCGCGCTGGTTCGATCTACTCCACGACGGAAAACACCAACGCTCTGACGATCAACAGCAACCTGACCGTATCAGCGGGCAGCACCACCAACATCGGGACGGATCTGAGGCCCTCGAGCAACATCGCTTACGACATCGGCACGACTTCCAACAAATGGCGGACGGTGTATGCCAGCAACTTCAACGCAGCCGGAGGCACACTGAGCGGAGACCTCAATCTCAATGCGAACAAGCTGCTGAGTACTGGAGATATTGCTACGTCCAACGCTCGGATCGCAAACGCGTACCTCTCCTTGGCAGACGTCAGCTACATCACGGCTGGCAATGCCACAGTCAACGGTTCGTTGCAGTGTACGTCCATCGATACTCAGAACAGCAACATCAATCTCGGTACGGGGGCCATCTACGCCGGCAGTCTCAGCACGAGCAACGCGATATCCGGAGGAGCTCTGATCGTGACCAGCCTGAGTACTTCGGGTGGTGCCATCAGCGCCGGAACGATCACCGGCACGAGTCTGAGCGCGGGGACGGGCTCGGTCAATGGAGGCACTGGCAACTTCAGCGGAAGCGTGACGGTGAATGGCGATCTGCAAGTCGGAGGAGTGTTGAACTACATCAGCAGCACCACTCTGCAGGTCCAGGACAAGAACATCGTCCTAGCTACCTCGTCCAACGCCACGGATGCCCTAGCTAGTGGTGCGGGGCTGTACATACAAGGGGCCGGTTATTCGAACTCCAACAACGCCATCTCGTGGACGTGGAATACCGGATCCAATGGCAACTACTGGCTGCCGAGGGGAGGAAACATCTCTCTCCTGGGAGTGGCCGGATCGACCAAGATGGTCAGCCTGGTCACTTCTGCGGACGGGTCCTTCAAACTCCTGTCGGACGATGGCTCCACGGCGACGAGCACTGCGCTCTTCGGGACGCCTCTCCTTGCAAACAGCTCCAACCTGGACGTCGGCAGCACTTCGAACGTATGGGGAACGGTCTACGCGACCACCTTGGGAAACTCCAACAAACCGATAACTTCTCTGAACGCGACTTCCATCACCAGTGGTACGATATCGAGCGGGTCCATCAACACGAACAACTCCAACATCTCTCTAGGTACGGGCAGCATCACCGGAGGGGCCGTGAGCGGAACCACTGGATCGTTCTCCGGGGGCATAACGTCTTCCAACGGGCTCACGGTGACAGCAGGCAGCTCCACCTTCTCCAGCAACCTAGCAGTGACCGGCCCTATCGTGACGGCAGGGGGCTTGACCTCGTCGAACGGGCTCTCCGTGACGTCTGGGAACGCAGTCTTCGCAGGGGGGCTGACGTCTTCCAACGGGCTCAACGTAGCTTCGGGCCCGGCGACCTTCGCCAGCAACGTCTCCATCTCAGGGCCAACTTCTTGTGCCTCTCTGACAGCCTCCGGGACCGGCACCTTCAGCAGTAACGTCTCCATCACGGGACCGACTTCCTGCGCGGCTTTGACCGCGTCCGGCACTGGAAGCTTCAGCAGCAACGTCTCCATAACCGGACCTGCGTCGGTGGCTGGCCTCTTGACGGCATCCAATGGCCTGACGGTCTCGGGAGGTTCCGTATCCCTTCCGAGTGGGTCCATCGCGGCCTCGTCCGTGGGCAACCTACCTGCGTCCCAGATAACCTCGGGCACCTTCTCAGTGGGCTCGTTCGGAAGTACGAACATTAGTACCACGGGAACTCTTGGGGCTGGAGCGAGCACTCTCGGGGCGCTGACCTGCACGACCATAAGCACCGGAAACAGCAACATCACCGCTGGAACCGGCACGATAACGAGCGGACAGCTCAATCCCACCACTACTGCGACTTACGACCTGGGATCTTCCAATACGACGTGGAGGAACGCCTATCTTTCCGGCACGATGACGGCGAGTAATTACGTGGGCCTGCAGCGAAAGTTGTGGAACGCAGGGGCGCTCGGCATCCAGTCGATAGCCGCCAACAGCTACTTCAAGTTGGCTACTCTGCTCGATAGTGGTAATACCGCCAGTGCACAGGGTCTTCGGATCGTCGGACAGCTGGGTGGTTTCGGGAACACGCAGACGGCGACGGTAGACTGCACCATAGTCTCTCGAGGCAACTTTTACGTGAGAGGCACTATCCAAGGCTTCATTTCAGGGGCCAAGCAGCGCGCTGACATCGTCGTCTACATAGAGACTAACGGGCAATATAGCGTCTATTATTACAACCCCGCGCAATTCTCGGTTTGGGACCTCAGCATCGAGGGCGGCTACGGTACGATCCTCTACGAACCCACCTCGACGGCCATCACTGCTCCCACAGGCACCCTCGTGACGTCATCTGTGCTGAGCATCCTCACTACCTCATCCGAATTCTCGTCAGGAACGGTGACGACGAGTTTCAACAACTTTAGCTTTTCGAATTCCGCATCGTCAGGGAATCCCGTTTGGAATCTAATCGGATCTTCAAACTCGGGATCGATACTGAGTGGCAGCATCACCAGCGGCCAACACAACCCATCAGCCACGGCGACGTACGACCTGGGAGCATCTGGCACGGCGTGGAGGAGTGCTTACCTCTCGAGCAATATCAACGTAGGTGGTTCTATCACGGGTTCCAACGGCCTGACGATCTCGACAGGCTCGGTATCTTTGCCGAGTGGGTCCGTTTCGGCCTCTGCTGTGGGAAGTCTACCTGCTTCCCAGATCACATCAGGCACGTTCTCGGTGGGCTCGTTCGGCAGTACGAATATCAGCACCACGGGGACTCTGGGGGCTGGGGCCAGCACTCTGGGGGCACTGACTTGCACGACCATAAGCACCGGAAACAGCAACATCACGGTAGGAAGCGGTTCCATAACGAGCGGTCAGCACAATCCCACTACCACCGCGACTTACGACCTGGTGCATCTGCGACCGCATGGAAAAGTGCTTATTTATCCAGCAATCTGTCAGTCGGGGGCGCCATAACAGGGTCCAACGCATTGACAATATCAGGAACCGGCACTTTCAGCAGCAACGTCTCCATAACCGGGCTGACGACAGTGGCGGGCCTATTGACCGGTTCGAATGGTCTGACGGTGTCTGCTGGCACCGTCTCCCTGCCTAGTGGGTCCATATCAGCTTCCGCAATCGGTAACCTACCTGCATCGCAGATCACGTCTGGAACCTTCTCGGTTGGCGCGTTCGGTTCCACAAACATCTCGACCACTGGTAGCCTCAGTGCCGGGGGGACTACCGTATCTTCGCTTAGCGCGGCGACCGGCGTCTTGGGACAGAGCACGAATAACTGGGCCAAGCGGACCTTCAGCATCACCGGTCAGACCTTGTATTCGACACCGACGTGGTGGAAGATCGCAGCGTTCTGGAACAACGGGGCTTATTGCTCCGGTTGCCTTACGATAACCGGGCTCCTCGCACGTGTTTCAGGGCCGGTGAATTTCACGGCGAACATCGGCTTCCACACTCAGAACTCAGTCTGGAACGCTTCCCTCGTCCTCGACAGTCCGGACAGCACTGACCCTTTCGGATCGGGAACATTCGACATCGCACTCTACATCGACAACAGCAAGAATCTGTTCGTGTACGCCAAGCAAAATATGGATTATCTGACCATGAGCCTCGATGTCACGACATGCCAATTCGAAGGGAACGTTTCCGCATCGAGCATCTATCCATCTACGTCTTACTCGCTCGCATACGCGGCGACAAACACTCAACTGATGGCAGCAGACACCGCGCTCACGTCCGTTCTGAGCTCTTCCAGCTTCTACACATTATGCGGCTCCAACGTCCGAAAGACGAAGGGGTCCGTCTCCACCTTCGGGGGTGCAGTCACGGCTGGATCCATCTCGACCACCGGAATTCTGAGTGCGGGAGGTCTCACGTGCACGAGCAGTGCGGTCAGCGCATCCGGCACCGCCAATGCCGTAACTACGACGGATTACGCACCCTCGTTGGCAGCCGGAAATTCTGTGGTGAAATACTTTGGAGTCGCAAACACAACAAACAACTCTGCGTGGCACCTTTTCAAAAACGTAGGTGCAGGATCGACGTCCAACTACGCAGCATTTGGGATACAAGGGTTTGGTGTGGGAACTGGGTCCTTCAATGCGAGCGCTAACGGAAACTTTGGTGTTTGCACGGTGAATCCTACATACACTCTGGACGTGTCCGGAACTCTTCGAGCTAGTTCCAATTTTGCAGTTTCTGGAGGAACGGTCACTCTGCCCTCTGGATCCGTTGCAGCATCCGCAATCGCGAATCTAGATGCATCTAAGATCACGACGGGAACTTTCTCCGTAGGGTCATTCGGTACAAACATTTCCACGACTGGGACGCTGACGGCGTCTGGTGCATTCACTCTGCCTGGACGCTATTACAAGTCCTATACCATTGCTTGCGACACGACTGCTGACTGCGCTTACGAATTCGCATCCTTCACGACAGGAACTGCCACGACTCTCGATGTCACCATAGTATCCCCCAAGACGAGCAACATCGAATTCACGAAAAGGTATTCCATCACCGTCGGGAGTAGTCTGCTAACGGCGGACGGTGCTTGGAGGCGATGCATACCACTGTCCACACACAACGGATATCCGTCGAACGAGGACTATGAGCTGCACGTGTCATCACCAGGTGCGACCACCGTCACCGGCGGATCCCAGTACGAACTGAGACTCAGACTGTTACACAGCGTCTCGACCATAGCCTCGACTATAACCGTAAACGTGACCGCTTATTATGCCCAGGATGGGCTCTTCACGACTTCGAATCTGTCGAGTACCTATGTCGAGGACACCTGGAGAACGCTCAATTATCTGCCTTCGACCGCCCTGACACAGACGGGAGGTCAGGTGGGCGTGGGAACGACCAGTCCATCCTACAAGCTAGACGTGGCCGGAAGCTTGCATGCATCTGGGGCCGCCACATTCGATTCGACCCTGACAGCTGGGGCAGTGTCGACGTCAGGGGCGATCACCACCACGGGAACGGGGACGTACGACATCGGAACTAATGCGAACAAATTCGGAAATCTCTTCACGGCGTACATCTACCCTACCACCTTTGTCACGAACCTCGTTCCTGTCACCCATAACGCGTACGATGTGGGAGTCTCGGGGGGCAACTACTGGAGGAACGCATACTTTGCTGGGACGGTGAATGCATCGACATTGTCCGCAAGCACGTACACCGGTCTCCCCAGAAAGTACTGGAATGCTACGACTCAAGGCCAATACAGTGCTACGCCCGGAACTCTCTACAAGATCGGGGTGCTTCCAGCCATCGGCGATGCCTCTGGTGGTGGAGCGGTGCGGATTTGCGGATCCATGGGAGGCTTTGGCACCAATCAGAGTGTCACGGTAGACTGCACGATTGCTTCGCGAGGTGGGTATGTCGTCAAGGGCTCCGCAAATGGATACCTCAGTGGCGCAAAAACAAACGCAGACATCGTCACCTACGTTGAGTCAAACGGCAAGTTTACGATTTACCTCAAGAATCTCGGGACTTACGTCTGTTGGGATCTCAGCGTCGAACCAGCTAGTATCAATGCAACCGTCAATGAGCCAACTTCCAGCACTGCCACCGCAACTGGGACTCTCAACACATCATCGGTTCTCTCCGTGCTCAGCTCTGTCTTTGAAACGAGCACCTCGACTGCCTCCTTTGGCAACTACTCTTTCTCTTCGAATGCCGCCAACCTCACCTGGGCATCATCGGGTACCGCTACTGGAGGCTCGGTCTCTTGCGGCCCACTAACTTGTACTACCTTGTCTGGGACTACGGGAAGCTTCAGCGGTGCAATCTCATCAGGGACGAGCTCGATCCAATATGGAACTCTCGGGGCGAATTCTGCAACATTGTCTGGAGCCTTGTGCAGCCTAAACGCAGGCTCCAACCTTAATAACATAGTGATAGGAAGCCCAAGTGGACAGGAATATATCCGATTTAACAGCACCTGGTATACTGGAAACCCCAATTACCCTTATGTCATAAATTCTGGGTACGGGGGGCACATCTGTTTCAATCATACCACCGGTTCGATGTCTTTCGCAACAGCTCCTACCTCCAACATCCCCGCCTATCAGGTGAGCCCTGTAGCCGCTCTGACGATTGACAAGAATACGAACGTGACGCTCGCTGGAACATTGACGGCCACAACGGGATCTTTTACAGGTCCTGGCGGTGCTTCGGCCGGAGTCATGAATATTGCCTGCACTGCGACCAGCACGAGCGTGATAGCTTCATCCACGTTTGCAGCAGGGCTCTCCAGCGCTACATACATCCTAAGCCCGTACGGAGTCAACACGACGTCAGTTAACAACGCTGGATATCTCGGATTCAACTACGTGGGTGGAGCAGGCTCTTCGAGTAATTACTATGCCTTTGGCTGTTGGGGATACACTATCGGGTCGCAATCCTTCAACGCTTGTGCAAACGGAAATTTTGGGATTTGCACGGCTACACCCGCATATACTTTGGATGTAAGCGGTACCCTTCGGACGACCGGCACCCTCACTTGCGCTGGCCTGATTCCAGGTGCCACAAACACGAGCGATCTGGGCACGACGAGCTTGTTGTGGAAAAACGCGTATCACACTGGAACGCACTACAACAGCGGCAACGCAGGCTTCACCGCAAATTCAACCACAGCACTCACGACGGTCGCTCCCTTCCACTTCTACGGTGCTTGCGATGTCAACGGCACCACGGCAGTTATCGGGGTCAACACTTCCGGATGCGGTCTGGTTCTGGACGACGTAGCACAAGCCAAGTGGAGGCTCGGGACGGGTGGTTATAACCTCACTTTCCAACAACATACCAGTACGTCGGCAACCAACTATGGGAATGCGCAATTCACGACCAGGGTCTACTTCAGCTCAAACGGTGACGTCAACGCATCGAGGCACGTGTACGCAGGTTCCAACGTGTACGCATCTGGGTCATGTTATAACAATGGCAATGCGATCACTTCCGACAAAAGACTCAAGACGAACGTCCGCCCAATCGAGGGTGCGCTGTCCAAGATTTGCCGGTTGGACGGAAAAGTATACGACTTCAAACCGCACAATCAGAACATGGTGAAGCCGAATTCGTCCGGCTTCATCGCCCAAGAGGTGCGGGAATTGTTCCCAGAATGGATAGCTGAGTGGGATGATGGAGTAACGGAGGCCTTCCCAGGAGAAGAGCCCATACTTTGTATCGATGCTGGTTATGGTCTGCAAGCATACCTCGTGGAGGCGATCAAAGAACTTCGAGACGAAAACGCCGCACTCAAAGCCAGAATGACCGCTCTGGAAGAACGTTGCAATTGCTAACGATCAGGCCTGGCGTTTCCTCCACGAAGAAACTTTCCGGGCATACTCAAAGGAGCGTGCATGGCGCTTCCGAGCTGCTCGGCGTTGCAGAAGCTCAGACTGCGATTCGTCGCACGTATAGACACTCCGAAGTACGCCATCTTTTACGCCCTACGCAAGATGGACTCCATGGATCTATTCGAAGCCCACTACCGCATGGGGTTCGACCAGAACCGGATCGGCCGCTGCTATATCTCCCCGAAGACATGGTGCATACTCAAAGAGGACGGATTCGTCGCTCGGGGAGAGGACCCCAGGGTTTTTTTCTCGGACGGGAAGCCTTTCGTCATGGACAACACGTGGGGCGATGCTTCGCTCCTGGATCAATACAAGCGCTACGACCGTATCAGATTGCCCTCCACCGGGAAGAACCTCACGATCGTACCCGACGAGGGACGCACGCTCATGGTGGAATGGTTCAAGCCCCTCCGCGTGCACGAGACGCGAGATCTCGCAAAGGACATGTGGACGCCAAAGATCATGAGGCACGAGAACGCCGACCTCAGCTACAGAGGAGGCACGCCCGGATATAGTTGCGCGGAAAAGAACCACTTTTACGGTTTCGGACATAGGACATCCATGGATGAGAAAGTCAGGCATAGACCATTCCTCTGGATATTAGATACCGCGAAGTGGAAGGTCGTGACATCGGATCTAGATAATTGCGACTGTTTCTCCAACAACATAGTAGATCCCACGAGCGTGGTGGAGCATGGGGGCAAGAGATATCTGGTGACTGCGGAGTCTGACCTGCCGTGGTTCACCCGACAACAACGATACTACACTTGCGTCTACGAGATGGTACTGGACTGATCTATTCCCAGACCCTCCCTCTTTACATCGAAGACCTAACTTCCATCAAGATGTCCTCGGAGAAAGATGCAGCTACTGCCTTCATCCTGCTTTCATCTTGATTCCCATAGGCCCGTAAACCACACCCCCTTCATCTAACAGTTCAGCCAGTGTGCTGATGCGGTGTGTGCTCACATGAGTCAGGACCGCTTTCTTCTGGTTGGAATATCCCAGTACATTGGCGACATCATTCCCTCGAAACCAGGGGTGTTTCTTCTCTACCCCGACCAGAAGAAATCGGACATTCTTTCCGTCCCAAATGATCAGCTGTTGATCCGCATCGAACGTGAAGTTCGCCATACTTCCTCTCTACGAGAGGGCGCGAAAGAATTCCTAGACTTCTAGACGCGAGATACCGCCTGTGGCTGTTGTTACTTTCCCTAAATCGAAAGCGGTTGCCTCCTGATGTTTTTGATGTATTTGGTTGTCATGATCACGTTCCCTAAGCCAACAATCTGTCTTCCATCCAATGAATGTTCCACAAGATGATCATTGAACGGCCTTCGCGCGCCCAAGTGCCTGCATCATTGACGTTCAAATGCAGTCATGCTTTGCAGTCCGGATGGTGTAGAAAAACGTCGTGCATGGCCGCACCGGGACTCTGAGAGGTACATCCTGTCTGCGTCCCACGTGCACAATCTATGTTACTAACATATCAATATACTCTATGTTTGTAACTGGTCACCTCACGGAAGGCTTCTTTGGCCGGGCACTTATCTGGATTCTAGAATTACTGCCATTCTTCAAGAGCTCCAACGAAGACGTGACTTTTGAGATAGGTTGCAAGAATTACGGCGTTCCTCCGGAGTACGATTGCATCGAACCCTATTTCGATCACAGAAGGCCAGACAAGACGCCCCGGGAGAATGCGCGAGTCGAGTCTATCACCGGATTGAAGAAGAGGCACTGGACGCATTTTACTGAATTCGAGACGCCGAACAAGTCGTGGAATGAGTATTTCTCGTTCAAGCCGCGAGTCACAAACGAGGTGAACGATTTCGTATCCGAGAACTTTGTTGGAAGAACTTTGGGCATTCATTACCGCGGGACCGATAAGCAGGTAGGACATTGCATCCAAGGCGGAAAGATCGATTACGAAGACATGGATGCGATCATCGAAGACTTTTGCAGTCGGCCCGAAAAAGTTCCCGACACGATCTTTGTCACGAGCGACGAAGTGGACTATGTGACCCACTTGCATGCGAGATTCGGGACGCGTTTCCGCATAGTACACAGAGAGGATTCCATCAGGAATGCAAGAGATGTACAGAGGCCTGCGTTCTACGGGGTCGATTTGGAGTCTGGCGCGACTCTCAAGAGGTCTGACGAGCAGGTCTTTGCACTAGGCCTCGATGCCATATGCAACGCGCTTATCCTGTCAAAGTGCGATGCCGTGCTGAAAACGTCATCCGCTCTGTCGGCGTGGGCCAAGATCTTCGAACCGAATCTGGAAGTATACAGGGTCAACGCATGCATGTACGATTGGTTTCCAGACGCAGCGATTCCCCTCTATACTTCGTCGGACCCACTCGTACAAACGATCCTTGCAAAAACACTCTTTGGCGAACGGTCCAAAGCCTGACTCTACCAAGATGCAGCAGTTCCCCTGATCCTCAGCACGCGCTCTGGGGCGTAAGGCTCCCCACATTTTTCACCGCGATAGCCCCGTTGGTTTGAGAAGACCAACGTCCCGTCTGCATCCTGCTTCGTGTTGTAGTGCGTGTGGCCGTGAGCCCACGCCACCACGGGCGGGCCCATAAACTCGGTCAGGTCCGTGCCGAACGCGTAGTTGGTCGGTCTCCCTTCGTAGGCCGGTGCGGAGACTCCCTTCCGCAACGGAGCATGGTGCGTGAGGACCAGCACCGGCTCCCGTCTGCCCTCTGCCTCCAGAATCGCCTCCAGAACGAACTCAAAGTCTCTCTCGTGCAGGGCGTTGGTGTCTTCGACGGTGAGCGGACGGAGGTCGGCCCCGACCTTCTTGCCGATGCGGACGTAATCGTTGATCGTATTGCGCACGACGTCTCTGGCATGGTCCGGGACGCGACTCCACAGAGTACAACCGATCACCCTGACGCCTCTGAGCGAGATGCTCTTGCGGTCCATGAAGTGCACGTTGTCGTGCTTCTTTGCGAGCTTCGCTATCTTACTCTTTACCTCCTCGTATTCCCCACCGTAGAACTCGTGATTCCCGGCGATTATCAGGACGGTCTCGAACTTCCTCGAGAGGTCCTCCACGAGCGCCGCGTACTCCGCGCTCCTCGGTTCGCTGATGTCTCCCAGTAGAGCGATGTGGGGTGCTACGGCCGGAATGATCGGTAGCTCTTTAGAATGCTCCATCTCCATGTGGAGATCGGATACTATCTGGATGTCCAAGCAGGCGGCCATCTTCAGCTGCTAGTACCTCCTGATAGAAGATTTTGCAGGATCGAAACGTACCAACCATATTATCTGGCGTCTGAGTATACGAGCCAATGGCGAAGTGTGGCGCGAAGACCGCATCCGGTAAAACCTGTCGTAGGACGGTGTCCTCCGGTCACAAGTGCTGCTATCAACACAAGCGGACCAAGTCCGGCAAAAGAGCGGTGCCGAAAAGAATGACCATGAGAGCCCACCCTGCCAACGCCGACCGCATCCATCAGCTGACCGAGAAGCTGCTGAGAAAGGGTCTCACCAGAGTGGAGATGAAGGAGCTGAAGCGGCGCGTGAGATCTAGGGACGAGATGATGAGATCGTTCTGGCTCTGAAACCCGACTCGTACCATATGGGCCCTCGCCTATCCCTGCGCCATCATGTCGCAAACCATATGCCTATCCCGACCTGGTTTGAAGGTCTGAGGCATCGGGTCTAGGGGTTCTATCCCGCGGCGAAAGAAAAGGGGGATCATGCGATGCGTCATCCTGCACGAATTTTATCTTGGTCACCCCATCTGCCAACAGTTCTAGCTCGGCGAGAGCCTTCATGACGGTAAGCATGAGCCGGTTCTTATTTGCCAGTCTGACGTCGACTTGCTGAAAGTTTGTGCGATGCGACACGAGAAAAGTCATTTGTATCTTTTCATTATCAAACTGCTTCATGTTCAACGTCACCTTTGGGTACCACTGCTCAGGGTTCGCTTGTAGGAAGCGCAAGATGCACGCTCTCATCTCTTCGATTTTCTTCTGAGGGGTGCCCCAGCCCAGCGCCAGATCGATGAGCTCGATCTGATCGGGGGACCTGTAGTAATTGCTGATAACTTTCAGAGCCAGTTGATTGTTGCTGTAGTATACCTTGCTGTTGTCCGCTGCTAGGAGGATCGTGGACAGCAGCTGCATCTCTTCCACCACGTACGTTTGCCCGTCCACCCGGATGATATCCGAAACGTCAAAGGGATGCGTTACGAAGAGGAAGATTATGGATTCGAAGACGGTCTTGCAGGTGTTGCCAAAGACGAATAGGGAGGCCAGGAAGGATCCCGACGTTACTACGAGCAGCTTCTGCACGTTGACGTCGAGCACGAAGAGGCACATCAGGACGACGATAACTCCCACCACCCAATCCAACAGCCTGCCGAGGGATCTTATCGCAGTCTTCGTATCGCTCAGCGTCAGAGCCAATGCCTTCCGCTCACGCACCACGTTGATGAGCCAGTTCTCGAACGATTCGCACGTCACCACGCCCTCCTCGCTCTCGAAAGCCTAGAAAGCCCGCTCGGCGTCGCTTTCCTCCAAGAAATGGAACAGGATGAATCACCATATGATGTCTCCCCTCTGGTACCACGTTCTTGAAGATGTCCCTCGCGGCGTCCCGTCCGTGCTCCTCGCTCCGGACGTCCCTCTGCTGCTGCGTGGAGATGGTCGTGATCTTGGTGCTGCGCACGAAGCGCATGATGCTCTGGAACGTCCGAACGCCGAGTTGCCCCTGAGAGAGCGTAGCCAGGATTCCCACCTCCTCCTGGGGTTCGCCGCGTATGCCGGTCGTCGCCGAGCTGGAAGATCTATTGAGCATGTAAGCAGGTATGGAGAGTCGTTCTATGACGTAGTGGTCGAACATGGCGTCCCTAATCCTCTCGAAGTAGGCCTTTCGGTGGAAGGCGTTCGCGAGGATCTTGATGAATATCATTTTTCCCGCCATCACGAGGGTGGCGATCTGAGTGCACACTAGTATCTGATTCACCTTTACCGGTATCTTGCCCACGATCTTCCTTCTCCCGTTGAAGAGGACCGTCCAGACGCACAGGACTTGCAGGCACCAGATCACGTTCCAGGCGGACCTCCGCACCCCGTAAGCAACGTACAGTATCTTTCCGTTGTCCTTGAAGATCATCTGGAGTAAGAAGATCATCGTGTACACCAGAACCCTTCCTATGAGCCTGCCCGAGAGCAGGGTCAGGAGCAGGACGGTCCACTTCCAGACCTCCAGCTCCGCGATGGTGTACCTCGAGAAGAAGAGCAGGGAGATCACGATCTGCGCTACCAAGTAGGCACCCAGCGTCACCTGCCCATATGCGAGCAATCTCCTCGAGAGACGGGTCTCGCGTACCGTGGAGGGGGCCCGAGGATCCTCCTCGTCCTCCTCGCCCTCTTCCTCCTCCGAGAGGGCTCCCAATATCGACGTCTTTGGTACCTCGCCGGTCTTTATGGCGTCCAAGACCGCCGAGTGTGGTACGTTGTGCATGTTCCCCTGCAGCGGTCCGCTCACCAAAACCGTGGGTTCGAAGTCCCGAGACTTGGTCATCGACGCCCGCCGCCCGAATTTCAGGGAAGCGCTTCGCTTGTAGTCCTGCATCTCCTCATTTTCCACCAGAATATTATCACGGGAATTAGCATAACC